AAAAAAAAAAAAAAAAAAAAAAAAAAAGGAAAACCTAATGTAATATAATGAACCAAATATATTCATCCCTCAGTACCCAAAGTACCCAAAAGGGATGGGTTCCAGGGTCCCACAGGGATAACAAAATCCCGAGATGTTCACAGGCCTTGTAGAAAAGGGTGTTGTATTTGCATTTAATCTAAGCACATCCTCCCATGTATTTTAATGCTCTGCAGATAGTGGTTTGACTGTATTGTTTAGGAAACGGTGACAGGAAAAAGGATTCTGTGCATGTTCAGTTCGGATGCAAACCTCCCATCATTTTCCATTCGTGGACGGTTAAATCTGCGGTGTGAGACTAGAGTGCCGACCGCACCAGTGTGGTAAGAAAAGACGGATCAGGACAGGCAAGGCCTGGGAGGGGAACCACAGTCTCCAGTTACGTGCCGCTCCGCCTCTAAACTTGGAGGGAGGCAGGGAGAGGGGAAGGACAGGGCGGAATGGACGAGAGGGTGGGGGGCCCTGTGGCAGCTCCCGAGGTTTAGGACTGGGAGGCGCACTGTCTCCTGGTGGGTGGGGGGAGCAAGAGAGAAGGGCACAGAGGAAGCACGAGAGGCAAAGGGACAGAGGAACGAAGGGCATCACGGGTTAGCCAGGGACAGACCTGGGAAAGAGACCCAGGTTAGAGGTCAAAGTGGAAGTCAAAGGTGAGAGATGTCACAAATTTGTTTGGCTAGCATATAAGTACAATGTTAGCATCATTAATTTATGTATATAAATGAAAATAATACATGAATATAGTAAAAAAGTCAAATACTAATGATTTGTGATGAATCAGCCACTTTTTTGTTATTATTGTTTTGGGTTTTTGAGACAGGGTCTCACTATGTAGCCCAGGCTGGCCTTGAACTCCCAGAGATCCTCCTGCCTCAGCCTCCCAAGTGCTGGGATCACAGGTGTGCACCCCCACACCCCCACTGAAATAGCCATTTCCCTGGCCTTTGCCACCTTGCAGTCCTGTTCCTAGGCAGCCAATTATAAGTTTTAACTGTTTTGGTTTTTCTAGCATTTATTTCAGGTTTCTAAACAACAACAAAATGCTCATTTTCCTATACATTTTTCAGATTTAAGTATTAACTATGACTCCATACTATAGAAAATTAAAAGTTAATTTTATTATCTACCACCCTCCTTCCCCAATATTTAATTAGTTTTTAATAAATCAGTATTTGATATTTATTATTTTACAGGCATTATTCGTACTTGAGCCAAACAGTGAGCCCTAGGATTATTTTTAAAATTGTATTGCTTCTCTCCCTGTGGAGTTAAGTATTGCTTCTATTTTTAAAAACAATTTACTTAGTTTTTCAATATCAATCACTAATTCAATTCCAAATTCTTCAATACCTTAAAAATATCAGGCAATCAAAACAGGGGAAAAAATCAGGCAATCTAGGTTCTTTTTCTTTAGTTTTTTTTTTTCTTTTTCTTTTTTAGAGGTGTTCTGACTGTGTTGCTCAGGCTGGTCTCACACTCCCAGGATCAAGGGATTCTCCTGCTCCAGCCTCCCCAGCACTTAGGACTACAGGCTCATCCACTGAGCCAGTCTCTTTGAGAATATCTTTCCTGACTCATCTGTCCTGCAATCTGGGGCAGTGCTTCTCTGGGACAGCTGTCCAGCTCCCATCCTGAGTGTCCCTTTGGCATTCATTGGACAGACAAGCACCTCTAAATTTCTCCTTTGTTGCAATCCTTCCCCCCGGACCATGGTTTTTGTTGTTGTTGTTGTTGTTTTGGTTTTTTGAGACAGGGTCTCACTATGTAGTTCAGGCTGCCCTGGAACTCACTATATAGCCCAGGCTGGTCTCGAACTCACAGCAATCCTTCTGCCTCAACCTCCCAAGTGCTGGGATTACAGGCGTGCACCACCACGCCCGGCCTGGACCATGGTTTTTTTTCCTCCTTCTTAATTGGCTTCCCCCTTGTAGCAAAGTATATTTTTCAAGAGATACACACACTGAAAATACACACATGTGAGGGTCTACAGGAGGTGCATGCGCTGAAATCCAACACTGAGGAGAACGTCTGTTGTCCAGCTGCATTTTGGGTAGTGCTGGATAGTTTTGCGGTGTTCAATCTTAGAAAACTATGTCCCTCAGGATTTAGTATGTTGATCTATTGTTTTCCAGTTCCACTCTTATAGATTAAAAAAAGCCCTAAGTCTGTTTTGATTCTTGTTTCTTTGCAGATGACCTATTTTTCTCTCTCTGGAGCCTTGTAGTCTTTTTGCTCTTTTTTCTTTTAGTTGCTAGTGTTTTGAAATTTCACAAAGATGTGACTTTGTAGGGTCCTTTCCTGTTCATCGTTATGGATGATCTCAAGGATATCTTTTCTCATTAAGATTTTTTTTTTTTGAGACAAGTTCTCCCAATGTAGTTCCGGATATCCTTCAACTCACTAGGTAGCCCAGACTGGACTCAAATTCATAGTAACCCAGGCTGGGGATTTGGCTCAGTGGTTCTGCCACCTGCCTTGCAAGTGAAAGGTCCCAGAAAAATTCATAGCGATCCTTCTGCCCCAGCCTCCCAGTTCTGGGATCATAGCCATGTGCCACTAGGAGATTTTCTAGTATTATTTCTTTCTTTATTTTTTCCCTCCATAGTCTCCTGACTGTCCCTCCTTTTCCTCTTCTGCTTGCTCTT